GTGATACACAACCCAAGAGTTAATCAGAGGCTCTTAACCCTTCAACGGAGGCAACAATTACTGGTCGCTTTTAAAGACAGATAATTTGGCTACATCTCCATCTATATTTTTTAGAAGATACAGTGTATGTCTTGATGTGCAGCACTTTTGTCTCTGCATAGGCATATTGCTAATCATGCCTTGAATCTCTCACAGTGAGCAACTACTTTAAGTGTATTTTATTTTTGTTAAAGGCAGCAGAGGAAAAGTGATTAATTTTTGTTACCAACCTTGCACACTGCCAGTTGAGAATTTCCCTGTTGTTTTTACCATATCTCAGAAAACACAGAGTGTAGAAGACTCAAAAAAAAAAAAAACTCATGCTGTTTTGTTTTCGATGACAAATCAAAACACTGATTTTGCAATATAAAAGATTACTTGACAGCTCTCTGTGTAACTAACTTAAATTTCACGTTAGTTTTTTTTTAATTGACCAAAACAGAGGCTAGAATAGGTTGTAGGATTATGCTGTCAAGTTCATTCAAATGAGACAGTAAATCAGGGAGAGTGCTTTATTTTACACTTCACTGAAGGGAACGGGCTACATCAGCAGTCTTCATTGCATGCCACCAGCAGTGTGCAGTGTCACACTCTTGGCACCTGCAGTGGTTTGATTTCTGACAATGTTATTAGTGCACTGGCAAATGATATTTTAAATGTGCCAATAATATAGAATCTTAGAAACATTATTGTTACTATTATTTTACCCCAGAAAAGAGCTTTTGTGACAACACACTGTATTTCCAATATACATGAGAGATAGGAGAAATGCTCTTTTTTACCAGTTATGTCTCATGCTAAATATTTCTGCTATTCTATACTCTCCAGTCTCTTCTTACTTGTCTATGAGCTTATGCTTTCCCAATGAGTCACAGACTAACAGTCAGTAAACATGTCACTAGGGCTGTGTACTCAGACACTACGGCTGTGTACTTCAGAGTGCTACAACTGGCCGACAGCATGTTTTCCTGGCCTAAAGATCACGTTTATCCCTCAAGTAGTCAATGGAAATTGACAGTTCACTACTTTGCAGGTGAACCTAATGTTAATTTAAGTGTGTTGGCGCACTCTTATCCTTTTTATTTTCATGGATTTCACACCATTATAAAATTAGGCTATTTCAAAATATGAATACATATTTAAATTCAAATGTCAGACTCCTGAATATGGATTCAAATAACAGGACATGTTCACATCCATGTGTTTACTGAAGTTTAAAAGGTCTACAAAAAGGATTGATACCAAGCCACTGCTTAAAGGGAGAATACAGCTTTGTTGACCCACAACAATTTCCTGAAGTCTTAGAAGACCTCTACATTTTTGAAGTAATAATTATCTGTGTTCTGAGAATTTCCAAGGGTTGCTTTTCTACACTTGCCGTATAGAAACATGGGAAATTCCTGTGATTCAAACAGCATAAGCTCAGGAGCATATTCTGGGAAGGCACCCCTGCCTGCTTGTCCTTACCCATTACTACCCTAGAGCTGTGTAACGAGGAAAATATGAGGCCAGTGACTCAGCCAGGAAGAGGCAGCAATGGGGAATGTACCAAAATATTCCCTTTTATAGTTTAAATATTCTTCAGATTGTGTTCAAGATAGATTCAAATTCAGCGCTATTGATGGTGCTGTAGTCAATCAATCAGTGGTGGATGGTGATGGTGGGATGTCGTTAATCAGTGATGGATTTGTTGCCACGTTAGTGAAAACCTGAGAAGGTCAAAATTCAGATGAGTATGGGTGCAGGAAAAAAAAAGACATCAAAAGATAAGTGCAGTGTAAACACAAATATGGCTGATTTTACTTCAGGTGCAGTTGTCAAAGACAAACTAAAATGACTTCAGGATTGTGATGGAAACAAACACTGACTCGAGACTTTCAGCAGAAAGACATCTTTTTGTCAAGTAGAAAGCTACCATTGTAACAAATTCCCTTAGGCCAAGTTTCTGGAGTCACCTATATTTTGGCCCTGCAGGAAATGCTAACAAGGAGACAAGTTCCCAAGTATTCTCGTCCCCTGCTTTCATATTGCACTCACAATTTTACCTTCCTTCTCTTGTGCTGTGAGTGTCCGTAGGGACACACTATCAGACTGCAAAGTAATGGATTTTAGCAAATAGTGGATCTTAAACCATGTGTTTTGGGCATGAATGTAGAGTGCCCTAGTCTTTCTTGGAGCAGCTCTTGTAGACAGAGCTTTTCAGGAGGTGGGGGACCTCTGTGCACAGCAGGTCTTGCTTTGCATGTCAAAATACAGCTCACTTGAGCTGCTTACTGGTTAAGTGATGCACAATTTCTCTGAGGTGCTACTGGACAGAGTACATATTGACTATGGATCATGATCCAGAACAGCTGTAGGGCTGGATGAATTTACTTCTCCTGCTATGATTTATTTATTGTATGATGTTTGGCAAATCATTTTACTCAAAAGGGAAGGTTTAAGGACCATTTTGTTAATATATATTTGTGCAGTCTCTATCTGGGTTTAGACACTATAGGCACAACTTTTTCAGGAACAAAATAGTGTTTACTGTTCCTCTCTCTGTGGGACTGAAGGTTTTTAGAAGGAAATATTGGTCCTGATGTAGTATTCATTGAACTCAATGGGATCTGGATCAGGTTCCTTTGCTAAACAAGCTTTACTCAGCTCAGGGGTGAAAATACACTGGAAGGAAATGAAGCTGTCTTCACTGATACACACTAAAACAATTTTGTAACTTCATTTCTCAACATGATCCTTCACAGCACATCATAAATTTATATCCTAAAGTCTGGGATTTATGTCTGCTTTACACCCATATCACGTCATGATGTGATGCAGTTTGACACACCGTAATTTTTTTTTTAATAACACATTATTTCGAGAGTTGTGAGAGCATCAAGTCTTGTGGGATTTATTTATTTATTTATTTTCCCTCCAGAACTAGCTACTGCTCTGATTTTATTGTGACTTTAAATTAATTTACTTTTTCTGTGATTCAGTAGGATGGGTGGGAGTGTGTTTGAAATTTCCTGATTAAAAAAAAAAAAAGTTATCACAGAAAGACACTACTACCTGTGACACTGTATGCATTGCAGTTAGTTTAGTGCAAATATTTCAACAAAGCAGTTCATGCTACATGGCTGACTGAGTTAGATGAAGGGGAGTTTTAGCTATTTTTGAGTTCTTGCCTGTAAACATGCAAAATAGAGTATAACTACCATATATTTTAGCATTTGAAGTACTTACCACTTCATTTAGTGTTTGCATGCACAAAGCACTTTTTCTACCACTGAAATTAACCTGGCCCTATCTCCTTGACATCCTCCTGTAAGATATTTGTACACACAATTAAGATCCTTTCTTAAATTCTCTCTTTTCCAGGCTAAACAGGCCCAGATCTCTTAGCCTGCCCTTATAGGAGAGAGTCCCTTGATCATCTCGGTAGCTCTGCACTGGACTCTCCCCAGTAGCTCCCATTCCTTTTACTGGGGAGCCCAGAACTGGACCCAGCATTCTAGATGTGGCCTCACTAGGGCTGAGCAGAGGGAGAGGATCAGCTCCCTCAACCTGCTGGCAACACTTCCTAATGCACCCTGGCGACCACTGGCCTTCTTGGTGACATTGTCGGCTAATGTTCAGCCTGAAACCCACCAGGAACCCCACCAGGTCTTTCTCTGCAGCCCCATCCTGTACTGGTGCCTGGGGTTATTCCTCCCCAGGTGCAGGACCCCCTAAGTTATGGTATTCCTCCAAGAAGGTGCCCAAAGAAGCCCAAACTTCATCTTCTGAAGTCCAGGGTTGAAATTTTGCTTTTTACCTGTGGGGCACTGTAAAAGTAGGTAAAAGGTCGCTGGGTTACTCACAGGTGAGCTAGCCGAACAAAACCAGGCAGGGAGATAGGGGGAACCTGAGAAACATGCACAGCTCCTGGATGCGTTGGTCTCTGATTGGCTACCTTATGGCTGTTAACAGGACTGGACCCAGATAACAATAGAGTCAACGGAGTGGCTGATGGCGTGGGAAAGGGAGTGTGCAAACAGCACGGAAACCATGCATGCTTGGGGGCTATATATACGCTTGTAGCTACAGTTAAGTTGCTTCTGGTTCTTAACCTTGAGCCTCTGCTCTTCAATGCTTCCACAAATGGCACCCGAACAGGGATACGAACAGGCAGTCGAGGGAGATCATGTGGTGGAGCAGGCTTGACAGGACGGATGGGAGAGAATGTCTTGCAATCACAACAGGTAACTATAGAATCTCTATCTACAGGCAGAGAAATCTGCAGGGTAGGAGCCAGGCTGTCAAGAACCATGGGAAGGTTCATGATCAAAAAGCAGGAAATGGTGCTGCAGGTTATGCAGCATATCCTGGATAAATCCAGGAGGGGAAAGGAGATCCAACCCAGGGATTTGTTTCATCTTTTAAAGTGGGAGTTGGAGAATTATTTCTATTTGCTATGTTGGTCTGCATTATATACTGTCTTTATGTATTTATTGTGTCATATACATATAAGCAGAGAATAAGCACAACAAGAAAGTGCAGAATTCGAAAACAGGAAAGCCAGGAATAACTCAGACTGCTGTCCTACCTGCTAGTGGATCAGATGATCCAGGGAGATGGAGGACCGGGAGCCGTACTCTGACTTGTATCCTTAAAAAGAGATTAGGAAAATACTTCAGCATAGGAAACAAAAATGAAGTTGGAAACAAGAATGAAGCTGGAAACAAGAATGAATGAGAATGGCCAAGCTGCACTGCAATGGGCATGGAAGGACCAGCGACCCCATGTAGAGCTTCAAATATTTTGAAAAAAAAAAAATCCTCAAAAATCATAAAAGCCTCAATTGCTACTGGAGTGGAGGCCTCCTTAATATATAGAAATCCCGAGAAATTTAAAGGACAATCTGTAACTATTACTGGTTTGGAGGGGGAAAACAAATTGAAGCTGTGCAAACACGAATAGAAATGAAAATAGGGAACATCCCTAAATGGTTGTATTCAGTTATGATTGTGCCTGTCCCTGAATATATAATTGGAATTGATATTTTAAAGGGATTGACTTTGAATCTTTCTGACGGTTTGTACCAATTTGGAGCAAAGAACTAAATTAGTG